TATCGATGATGCTTTTCCATCTTACAGTCATGTTGTTAATGCTCTAATTAAAGAAATCACTTGGCTTTGAAGCAAAAACTTATGTCAATGTCCTCTTGAACACCTTCCACATTTGACTGAGCCATTGTTTTTGGTGTTTAATATTTGCATAGAGAATCCATTTTTCATCACCAGTGACAATTCTGTCCAAAAATGGTTCATACACAAGAGACGAAGCAACGATCACACGTTGGTAACAATGATCATAGGAGAGTTTGTGAGGCACCCAAACACCTTCTTTATGGAGTTTTGCTATATTCCTTAAACATAAACTTCTTTGATGTTCTTTGTGGCTACAGAGGCATTGTTTCTCTTCTTGTACTCAAACGGTATTACATGCCGAATGTGTGTCTCGTGTGCCATCACTATAATGGATTAGAGTATACTAAACTTTACACATTATATAAGCAACACTAATGTGATGTTTAGACGGTTCGTTTAACTATTATACGAGATGTATGTTTTTGGGGGGGTGGTTAATGAAAGTGTTCCAAAATGTGACATTAATATCTTGACAACCTAATATTTCGGTTTATAGGTATACATTTAATTACATAGTTGTTACTATAATTTAATAACTTTTTAATTCCATAAAAAATGCTTAAGGCTACATATAATGAGAAAGATTTGTACTGTATATCTAAAAAATTATCATAACACAGAATTTTATTTTAAATGAGTATATCACCGATATATTGCTGAATAGTATTAATTGGGACTCCTTCTGGTGATCTATAAACTGAGTATATTCAATTATGAAAAAATCTTGTATCACCAAACTGTGACTATAATCCAGTAAATTTTTCTTTTTTTGTTTCTTTAGAGAGATGTATTACGAAAGTGGTTACAGGCAAGTATTGAATTGATTTTGCATGGCTATGGAAATCAGCTCTGTATATATAAACAGGGTTCAGTATACTAGCTTTTTTTTTCAAAACTTTCTTTTTTTTTACCAAGACAGCTGAATAGTTAATGTCTTTTGTATTATATTTGTTTCACATGTAACTTACATACCAAAAGTGTAACACTTTAGAAATCACTATTCAAAAATACATTATGATGTGTTGTAGTAATATATTAAATTATAAGCTTAGAATAAAGTTCCTGGTATTGAGGGTTAATTGCACTTTGTTAGAATGTCATGTATGTGGTTATGCAATGGTTTGTTGTCCAGATATGAGGTGGGGCACTAAGAGAGATATGTTTATAATTTATATATTTGGTTCGTAGCAAATATCCTAACATCTGGTGTGCAGTGCTGTTATTGGTTTACATGATCAGAGGGTTACCTCAAAGTTCTTTCTGAAGAAGGATATTTGTATAATGGGATGGTTATATAATGGAGATTCAAATGGCACAATATTTTGTAGAAGTGAGCCTTCACTGTTCTCCATAGAAATCCAAATACAATCTGGTACAATGTTTTCATTTTCAAAATGAAGTCCGTGGTTGTGAAATAAAACTATATAACCCAAAAAGCCATTCTGGTGAAGTTAGATGTGTCATTTGGTAACATTAACAAGATAATAATATACTAGTTTTGAAACTGGTAAAACTTCACAAGTTTTCTGACTTCTAGATTCACCTCAAACTCAATGATTGTTTTCATGAGGTGCATGGCTAAAGCAACTTGAGTTTTAACAGTCTCATTCAACTATATGTCTTTCAAGTACTTTGCATTTCCTTTGGACTTTTGTGTGTGTGATATGCTTAAATGTGGTCCTAAAAGTTGATCTCCATGTACAGTGAAAGGTCTGTTTATTGCTTGTCAGGATGTGTGGTCTAAGATTGACCGCACTATCCATTGCAGAAAGATGTTACAGCGGAAGCTGCAGTAAAGAGTAGTCATGGCCATCAGATTCATTATGAACTGTGATAGAGGGAGTATTTCCAGAGCAGAACATGATCTGAAGCACCATTCTAATAAGGTGTGATTAACCCTCACTCTTTGCTCATTTCAGTGATTAGTCAGCATGAAAGGCTTTAAAGAACTGTGATGGGAAAATTGGTAATATGCTACATCTAACAAATTCATCTCTGTCTTTTGTAAGAAATGCATTTGGATAAAGCTCAAATCTAATAATGAAATATAAAAATTTTAGAATTTTCTGAGATTAGATAAAATAGAACTTTCCAAATATAGCTTTTGTACAAAAATAAAAGTTGTATATCAGGGATTACATAGTTAAAGTAAGAATCGATGTTGTCAGTGCTTCCTCTTTTTTTTGAGAACTGCAGATGAGTTGAAAATGACTTGAAAATATCTGGGCAAGTTATTTGTACTTACAAGAATATAGTATTATTTTTAAGTTAAGTTCAAACCAAATTTTTAATATTACCATTGTATAATATTTAAGCTAAAGATAAATTTAGTTATTAGTAAAATTTTTCACTCTGTTTAGTTTAATCCAAATTTTACAAAATTTAGGAAAACAAGACAATTGTACGTTTCACAAATATATCAAATATATAAATATATTACATTTAATTATCATGAATAAATAATGTATTTGTGAAATTACAATTGTCTTCTTTTTCCTAACTTTTGTAACTATGGATTTTCATCAAGTACTGATCGTTTTAAGTATCAGTTATATAATCAAAATTTTCTATGTTTTCATTAAAGAATAATATTAATATTGAAGTTATAGTTGAAAATTTAATTATTAGTAATATCTTTGGCTTTGTTTTTACTGTGCTTTGGTTATTGACAATTGTAAAAATAGTTTAAAGAGCATACAGAATGTTAAACTTTTTTATTTTGGAATGGTTGTCATGACAAAAAATAATTCTAAAATCAGAAAATTTGACTTATTGTAATGAGATGTGCAAAATGAACTGTTTACAATACTAGCATTGTTATTAACGTTACCAATTTGTCTTTGTTATAAGAGACGTGAAATGCAATGAGTTTATAAGTCTAGTTATGTTCTTGTAACGTTAAGGTAGCTTTAGCACCTGCCATCAGTTTAGCATACTTTTTTTAATTTGTCTATTGATGAAATCATTGTCAAATTGTTATTGTTTCCCTAAAACAGTATTAATGTTTGATTTTATACATAATGTTGTAATTGGAAAATGTCAGCTGGATTTAGCAGTAATGTAATGAAATTTTACAATGAATGTTTAGTGTAAGTTAAAATATTTAATTAAAAAGTACAATATGTTAATATTTTTCATGATGCTGAAACATCACAGATACAATCAATTTTTAAGAATTGGTGTTGATACTGTTAGCCATAAATCTTTGAATTATTTTTAGATTTTAATTGACAGACCATTGGCATAAGTTAAGTTGTATGCTGTGCTATTTGACAGTTTATAATCAGCTTTGTATTAGAATATTACTTTAATATTACCTTGCAGTAATGGCTACACAAAAACACGAATAATGGAAACTGTGATAAAGTTTAAATCAAGGTATGTAGATAATATTTACACATTTCATAAAATGAGAACATGACCTACTAAAAAAAATCATAAAATGAGAACATGACCTACTAAAAAAAAATCATAAAATGAGAACATGACCTACTAAAAAAATTATAAAATGAGAACACGACCCACTAAAAAAAAATCATAAAATGAGAACACGACCCACTAAAAAAAATCATAAAATGAGAACACGACCTACTAAAAAAATAATAAAATGAGAACACGACCCACTAAAAAAATCATAAAATGAGAACATGACCCACTAAAAAATAATAAAATGAGAACACGACCCACTAAAAAAATTACAAAATGACAACATGACCCACTAAAAAAAGACGTGCAGATGTATAAGCTTAATTTAATGCATTAAAATAAAGGTGCTGATCTGTAGAAATTCATATGAAAAACTTGAAACAAAGGTATTGAAATTTTTTCACAAAGTAATACATGAATTTTTTTTTTGTAACCACGTGATACTGATAATCAAGAATTTCCTTTTTTAACTCTCTCAGTATGGATAGGTCAAAGTGCATGTCACAATTTTGTTTTTTAGAGAGTTACATTTAAAATTTAATTAAAGTACATTATCAATCTATATGAATAAACTTGTCGTTAAAATGTAGTTGATAAATCAATTTGTAATGTTATTAAAGTTTTGATTTCATAATTTTATAAGAAAATGGTTAAAAAAACACCCCAGTTTCCCCTAGTATGAGAATTGTAACATTTGCTAAGTCTTCCCTCTTTTCTAATTTGTTTAGCACGCCTCCAAGAAGTATGGAAGTTAAATTATGTAATGTATTATAATATGGATATCATTAAGGCAAAATCTTATTTTTATAGCCTTCAGTCTTATTTGTTTACAGAGTTATAAACTAGAAAATCAGAACCACTTGCCATGTCTACTTTTGCATCCTCTCTTTCACATATTGTCAGTAATTCTCTTAAATTTCATTGGCAACTGACAGCAAAAAAATGAATGGTCATAAGCTAATACTGTATTTCTTGTTTTTCATGTATATTCTTTATTATTATAAAAATAACTGAGATATAAAATTAGAAAAATTATTAGGTTAGATCAGATAAGATAATGAAAAAATTTAATAATAATAAAATTTTTCATTAGTTATGCTCGTGAGTAGCTTGTGTGTTACATCATTCAATACAGTAATATAAGCTGTGTGTTTGCTGAGTGATTTACAAGTTGGGTGGTGGAATTATTAAACATGTTTTAAAGGGCAATAGAATTAACTATAAACAGATGTAGTCTGTTATGAGCTTTTAAACAATTTAGGGTAAACAATTGTAGTTTCCTGTTACAATTTTTAATCATTCTAGAAAGAAAAAAGGTTAAATTATATTTCATATTTATATGGTGGTTACAAGGTGTTAAATCGACTAAATGTGTTTAAGAGTTAGGTAGAGAAAATAGCAGATAAAATATAAAGTTTTTCTGAAAAAAAAACGTTTGATATTTATTTAGAAGGTTTTAGGGATTATACAAATGAAACATTTTCAGACGAAGAAAAGTATTTTTAATCTTAACATGAAAATCACTTTGCACTTAGAGCTGTCAACACTGACTCCATATGTTCGTGGACAAATCTTTAATAAAATTTTTAATTAAAAAAATTGATTTTTGTGATCAAAACAATTGTAATGTTTACTGAATGTTTTCCAAATTTTGTGAAGATACACAAAAGATATTAAATGTTATAGTATAGGAACTCTGATGGTTACAATGTGACATCTACCAACCCTGTATGGAAAAATCTAATGCATCATTCAGAGGTGTCAATCATTAAGGTAATTTATACTATGTGCCCTTTATTGACTCAGCTTTAAGTCTGAAGACTTATGGTGCTACAAACCATATTTCGATGGCTGTGGTGGGCACAACATGGATAACCCATTCTGTAGCTTTGAGCTAATAACAAACAAACAGAAAGATATATAATAAGAAATTTAGGTATAATACCATTTTAGTAGCATGGTTGTTTCTATTTTGACAGACAGTGTTGTTATTGCCTGTAAAAGCCTGTTGGATATTGCATGAATTATAAATGTTTGCTAACAAAACACAAAAACATACCATCATCTAAAGTATGAATTTTTAGACTTCACCAGAAAATGTACGCCTTGTCCACAACACTTCTGACAGACTAGTATGTTATTTCAGAATTAGTTGTGATTGTTATTGCACTTTAGCCTTTATCTCAAACATTTTGCTTTTGTAGCTAAAAGGTTTGAAGTATAAACAAATTATACTTGAAACTGATAAAAGGTATGAGGAAACAACAAATATATTTCTGTACTTAAGTTTTAATGTTTAATTGTTTGGTATTTAGGGCATGCTTCAGAGGATAAATTAATGGTTTTCTGAATTTTGCTTTTATTTGGTTATATTAAATATTAAGTGACTTCACTATCCACATCTTATACTGAAGGATAGTGTGCTGGAATAAACATGTATGTGGAACAAATGAAGGGAAATTGCTTCTACTGTAATGGTTAGTTTATTTGAGTACACAAATTAATCACAGACTGTCGTTAGTTTGATAGATGTAATGATACAAAATTCTTCAGTTGACACTTAGCAGTAACAACATACACACACTCAGTCAAATTTACACGAGAGTGTATGGGTTGTACTTATTAGTGGACAGAACAGCTATCGGTTATTGAAACAGTGACAGTAGTGGGTAAGTGTTAAAACCTATATTCACCCTTATGATACAACTTCGAGGTTATTTTCTTGTGAGGAATTAATTTTTAAAACTTTGCTAAAAGCAAGAAGTAAGATTGCAGAAAGCACAATATTATTTTCAAGCATTTTTTTCTGGTTATCTAATATTTGCATGAATTACAGTCAAAGTTATCTTTTTTATGGAAAAAGGGATCTCGGAAGGAGTCCTATGTTCTTAAACACAAAATCCTCAAGTTTCTCAGTTTTAAGTACTTAAATTATTGAGGATTAAGTTGAATTTGTTCCTGTTGTAAATTTTTCTTGTATCAGTTTGATAAAGAAAACTTAGTATGGGAAGTATTTTGAAGGGATTTCTTTCTAATTTTTTTTTTTCATTGCAAAATTTATCATCCAGAAAGAATTTGCAAAAAAAGTGTAAAGGGGAGGTTTGAGTTTAGGGAAAAATCTTCCCCTTTTCTTATAGAAAGAAACCCCTGATTTTGATATTAAATGTTATATTTCTAAACTGGTCTTAAGGACTGAAAAAAGTAGGTTATAGAATTGAATATTTTGTGTTTTATAGGAGACATCATGCCACACACAACAGTTCCTCCACTAGTAGCTCAAGTGATGATGAGCGACGATTTGAAAGAAGGAAGGCTCGCAGCATGGCAAGAGCAAGAAATAGGTAAGTTGAATGTTAAATAAATGGTGTGATGGGACAAAGTTTTGGAGTGTTTTGATGCTGTTTAAGAAGTCTTAAAGAATTTTGAATTTATTTCAGCATTTTAATGAACATGATTTTCTTAAATGATAGTGTTAGTTTTTTATACTTGCTTCAAAGTAGGACAAATAATTAGTTGATCATGGAGGAATTTAATATTCTCTCGCATCTTCAAGAGTCAGATATCATAGTTATTTTATTTTAGTAAAGAAATTCTAATAGATATGACTAGTTACTACTTGGAATGTATTGGCCATCAAGTGTCTTATTTTTTAAAACTTCCCATGTTTTTCATTATTTCATTGAACTTACCTTTTGATTTTCTATTTAACAATTTAAAGAAAAAGGAAATTAAAGCTAAGGTTCATGACCACTTATCGAAGATGTTTTTCTGTGTTATAGTGAGAGAAATGTGATAAATAGCAGAAATTTCAGGTTGGGAAGAAATAAATTGCAGAATTTTTGGGTTAACATAAATCAAGCCAAAATGCACATTTTTACATTCAAATGTATTCTTGCATAAGCTGTTATTTAATAATCATGTATTACATGTCTGATATGAATTTTTTTAAAGCTTAGTTCTTTATTTTTATTATTTCTTTCAATGTTTCGTACATTTTCCTATTTTTATATGTAAAAAAAAACAAGGAAATTGAAGCTAAAGTTTGTAGTAATGTAGTGAATATTTTTTTTATGTCTTCTTTGTTGTGAGTAAAATAATAATAGTATTTTTAATTTAACATAAATACCAGCCAAAACAAATTTTCACTTTTGAATATATTATTGTGTAAGTTATATGATAATCACATATTAATTGTATGAATGAAATTTTATTTTTACTTTGTATCAAGAAAAATTCCAGTGAAATGACTATTTTTGCACTTTTGTTTCATATTTTTTGGTGTAAGGTTCCTATAATTTTATACTGTTCTAACTCCAATTTTTGTAGGAAGATATGTAATTCTCATATTCTTCAGTCAAAAAACACTTGATAGCATAAATGCACTTCTGTTTAGACTACAGATTCTATAATGTTGAAACAATAAGAACATTTGATATTATTTTTGTATAAAATTCAAAATATTATTCCAAAATGCATTTCAGACACAAAGCAACTGAGCAATAACATTTAAATCATTTAAGATACAATGTTACTCTGTGTTTCTATGTGTAAACATAAGTCTTTATTGTGGAAAAAATTTCTGGGTTTGGCCTAGATCCTGCTCTAGCTGTGCTGTTGATATGTCAATTAAATATAATTCTTAATCTCTTAAATCTTTTGCATATGGGTAACATTTGATTAGCAGTAACAAAATTTGTTAGTACTTTGTTGTAAGTCTGTATGCCATGCAATTCCTATTATGCTGTATATCAAGATGAAACAGGTGAAAATTAAAAAAAGGTCTACTGTTCTGAGGCTACACAGGCCTGCGATGGTTTTATTGTCTCGGAATTTTTACATTTTCTACAGTAATTCCTGTATGTGAATCCGGAAATGATATCTATTTTTCTCCATCACATACAGACTTTTCACAAAACGTCATATGTACTTTTACATAAGTGAATCATTTTCATTGAAATTGGGTCACATTTTGTTATGCTTAAAATGTTGACAAACACTGGCTACAGCTTTCTTTAGACCAATCTTGACGTGAAAAACACACCACTAGTATATATACATTTAACAGGCCGCATGTTTGGGTTTTCTAAAGAATTCTTCAGAGATTGTGGAATCAAGACTTTGGGCTAGAAACTTACTTTTCCAGGGACATCATTTTACTGGTACAGAAATCGTGAGAAAGAGTTT